AACAATGGCAAATAGCACTTGTTGGGTGTTTTTTCTTTACCTTATTTATCTTGTATCTTTTGTTTACGTGTAATCTATAATAGAATTTATAATCATTTTAATGAAAATAGTTTATTTTACACAAAACAGTTTGGTTTTCAAAAAAAAACAATCAACTGAACACGCAATAATTGAAATAGTAGACCAAATTACTAAAGGATTCAAAAAAAATAACTTTAGTCTAGGATTATTTATTGACCTATCAAAAGCATTTGATACGGTTGATCACCTCATTCTTTTAGAAAAAATTAAACACTACGGAATAATAAATAAAACCTATGATTGGTTAAAAAGCTACCTCACTGAAAAAAAACAATATGTTATTAATAAGGAATCAGGTGAACTTAAAATAATGTGTGGAATTCCACAAGGGTCAATTCTTGGTCCCTCGCTGGTCTTGATCTATGTAAACGATTTGCATAATGCTTCAGCAAAACTTAACGCGATAATGTTTGCTGACGACACAAATCTTTTCTTATCAAACGGTAACATTAGGCAACTTTACTCTGACATGAATTATGAATTAAGGAATGTCAATGAATGGTTTAAGGCTAATAAACTGTCACTTAATGTAGATAAAACAAAGTATACTCTATTCCATAAAAAATCACAACAGGAAAACCTTCCCTTAAAATTACCAGATTTAATTTTAGATGATTCAAAAATTAGTAAAACAATTGGTTTGATGTACAGTATACGCCCATATGTAACATCAGAAATTCTGAAATTAGTATATTTTGGCTTAATACATTGTTTTATTTACTATTCTAATATTACATGGGCTAGTACTCAACCAACAAACTTAAAAAAATATTTTCTCAACAAAAACATGCTGCATGCATGTATATGTACACTATATGCATGTACACTAGTATATAAGAAAAAAAAATATGAACATGCAAAACCACTAATGAAAGACATGCAAATGATGAGTTTATATGAAATTAATATTTACCAACACTTAATTTTTATGTATAAATATAATAACAGCCTGATTCCGAAAACCTTTAATAATAAATTTACGAAAAGTGTTAACAATAATTACTCTCGTAGAATAAACCAATGGAATACTTATAAATTGCCTAGAATTAGGAGCGAGTATTCTGAATATGGAATAGCATACCGTGGACCGAAACTATGGAACACATTTCAAAAACCAAACATTTAAATACGGCAAAATCATTAAACTCCTTTAAGTTTCTAATAAAAAATTAAATTTTTAAACAGTATAAATAATTATGCAATTTTTCTAAATAAACATCGAATTCCATTATTCTTAGTTTAAAAAACATTTGTGTCTTTTTTTTAATATTTAAAACAATGTCAGTATTCTTTAAATGACTATTGTTAAAATTATATTAATACTATTTCCATTCTTTCTTTAAATGCAAATATTTATAAAAGTTTTTTTTTATTATATTGGAATTGCACAATTGTATTTTTAAAAATCTTAATCTATTTTAAACTTGTATATATATATATATATATATATATATATATATATATATATATATATATATATATATATATATATATATATATATATATATATATAAGATATAGCTTTATTTCAGATCAATCAATGAAAAAAGCACACTTTTTAAATTCTTCTACTGCCAGAAATCTACCTATCATTTCCTCTATACTATTCCACCTAGTTTTGCAGGTCATAATTTTTATATGGTCATAATTTTTGAACGCTGAGAATACTATGGAACTTAAAATATATCGATGAATATAAGTTTAGTTGAGAATAGTACAAAAAATATTTTATCAACTTGTTGCCCCTTACGTTTGGGGTAAGAGGAAGGATGAAATTAAAGAGCTCTTTTGTTCCCAGCCTCCAATTATTGTAGTTTTTTGTAAAGTATCATTATTTGATAAAAGTATAAACATATAAATGTTTAGAGTTTGCTCTATGACTGAAAGTTAGCTATCTCAACCATCTACAAAATCCTCGATCCGTTACTGGTTATTGATTGGTTATTGAGTATTGTTACTGGTTATTGATTGGTTATTGAGTATTGTTACTGGTTATTGATTGGTTATTGAGTATGTATTATATTTAAATTATTCGATTAAAAGTTTAAATAATATACTTTAATATTTGTTTTAAAAGCAAAAAAAACTTTACTAGTTCAAAACAGTAAATTGGAAACGCAAAATGATCTCTCTGAATTTCTATCTCTGTTAACAGATAACACATGGATGTTGATGTCTTGCCGACATCTTTTATATCATTTTTAGATTGGCATCTTTTTACTTCATCGCAATGCATCGCGATGTCAGCCTGATAAACAAAATAAATCAACAATGTTCCATCGGTAAACGATATCGTGGTTGATTGAATTATATTGAAATGTATTGAAATATATGAAATACCTCAATACGCGTGGTTAGAAATTGAAATTAAATTGGTTAGTCTTTGAAATTTGAAGAAGTAATTGCAGTAATTGAAAAT